TGGGTCCTCACCGCAGCCCACTGCTTCATCATGGCCAGGTAAGGAGGACCAGGGGATGGGCAGGTGCCCTCTCCACAGCACCACGTGCTACTCCCATCCTGTTTCCTCACAGTATGCCCCCTTGCCTGGGCTCTCCCCAGCCCAGCCGAGGGACTGACTGCTGAGGAGAAGGCTGGGCTCGTGCCACTGCTTCCTCACAGCCTCCAGCTCGACGTTCCTTCAGCCCAGGGCATGCTGGGGCAGTCACACCCTCCGCAGCACTGCTTTCCTCTCTCCCTTGGGAAGCAGAAGGCAGGGAGCTGCTGGGCTGCTGCAGCACATGGCTCCCCTCCCTCTGAGCTCCTTCCAGGCACATCACGATGTGGCGTGTGGTGATTGGGGCCACCCATTTGGCCCACCTGGGCCCTGAGGCCCAAGTGCGCCACATTAAGCGGCTCCTGGCTCATGAACACTATACTCCTGTCTCGGAGGAGAACGACATTGCCTTGCTGGAGCTGGACCAGCCTTTCCAGTGTGATGACTACGTACAGCTTGCCTGCGTGCCTGATCCCTCGCTGAGAGTGTCAGAGCTGACAAACTGCTATGTCAGTGGCTGGGGTTCCACCAGTGCAAGATGTGAGTTCCCAAAAAGTACTTGTGTGAGCTTGGCACACTGGGGAGATGGCTTGGGGGTGAGAGTGAGCTTGGCACACTGGGGAGATGGCTTGGGCTTCCTGACAGCAGAGGGGAAAGCCAGGGCCAGGCTGCGGGGACGTATGCCACTAGAGAGATGGGCCTGACCCACTCCCCAAAGCCAGACAGAGGGAAACACGGGTACAATGACTTTGAGATGTCTCTTCTCCCACCTAACAAGTGACAGGATGAGAGGAAATGGCCTCAAGTTGAGCCAAGGGCAGTTGAGATAGGATATGAGGAAGAATTTCCTGAAAGGGTTCTTAGGCATTGGAAGGAGTTTCCCAGGGCAGTGGTGGAGTCCCCAACCCTGGAGGGATTGATGAGTCATGTAGACATAGTGCTGAGGGACATGGGTTAGTCAGGGACTTATCAGTGTTAGATTAAAGTTTGGACTTGATAATCTTAAAGATTTTTTCCAGTGAAGGTAGTTCTGCGATTCTGTGATTCTGAGATGCAAAACCAAGCCCTAGGTAAAGGGGTTGGCCTAGACAGTGGAGGAGCACTGGCAGAGAGCTGCTGGCTGTTAATTCCTTTCTGTGCTCACAGCTGGACTACCCACGGATGTGCTGCAGGAGGCCAAGGTCCACCTCATTGATGTCAACCTCTGCAACAGCAGCGGGTGGTACAGAGGGGACATCCACCCCCACAACCTGTGTGCTGGCTACCTGTGGGGTGGCATCGACACCTGCCAGGTAGGAGCGCACGACCAGTCGAGACCCAGCAGCACAGGAAGCCCTGTCTCAACCTCCCAGACAAGCTTCTGTAGGCTCCAGCACCTGAGCAGAGCCTCTCTGTGCAGTCAGTAAAGTTCTGGCAGGTGCTGTGAGAGAGAAGTAGCCAGCCACAGTGCTGACAGAGGCCAGCCAATGCCACCTTCATCCTCTCTCCTCCACTGCAGGGTGACAGCGGTGGTCCTCTTGTCTGCCAAGACAACCATGCTGACTACTTCTGGCTTGTTGGCCTGACCAGCTGGGGAAAAGGCTGTGCAAGACCAAAACAGCCTGGAGTCTACACCTCCACTCAGCACTTTTATGACTGGATCTTGGTACAGATGGGACTGCGCCCAGCAGTGATGGCTACCCCAAGGCCACAGACAGTCTTCAGCTCAGCCTCCTTTCATAAGTCTCCTTTCAGCCTCCTCAGAAGCCAAGACCAACACCATCAGGCAGTTTGACTTCCTGTCCATTTCCACACCACAAGATGGTGGAATTATTTAAACTGGGGAAAAAAGGCCTAAGCAACCAGGCTGCAGGATGGGAGGGACTGGGAGTGGGGGCTGGAGAGGGAGGGCGGTTCAACAGAGTTTCTTTGATGAGAGCTTTGC